GGTACAGGAGTGCTATTGAATGGCTCATTTGCATTATTCTGTGCCCTGTAAAATGAATTTATTATGCAGCTTCTCTAAATAGGCTAACCAGTTGTAATCTCATTCCAGTGCTGTATGGGTTTCAGCAAAATATGATTACTGCTTTCATAATGCCTAAAAATAAACAAAAAATAACCTTGGAGCCCAACCCGTCCTTTTGCTTGAATCTGGTGTGTTAAATGGTGCTATTAGACATGATGGGCAGGTATTTACTTGTTAAATAGTTTAGTAATTTTAAGTATTACTTACTCTGAGCACAAGTAATGCATTTTGGCCTCTGTTATTAATCACTGAAATACTTAATAAACCAGGATGATAGTTATTGCCTTGATTCCAAAAAATCTGAGTGATGTTCAGATGCTTCTATGTAGATGAAACAGCAAGATCATAGAATCCCAGAATGGTTTGGGTTGGAAGGGACTTTAAAACTCATCTCATTCCACCCCTTGCCATTGGCAGGAACACCTTCCACTAGCCCCGGTTGCTCCAAGCCCCATCCAACCTGGCCTTGAGCACTTCCAGAGAAGAGCAACCACAGCTTCACTGAGCAACCTGTGCCAGTGCATCACCACCCTCACAGGGAACAATATTTTCCTAGTATCTAGTCTAAATCTGTCCTCTTTCAATCTGAATCCATTCCCCCTTGTCCTGTCACTCCATGTCCTGGTAAAGTCTTTTTCCATCTTTCCTGTAGCTCCTTCAGGCACTGGAAGGCCACAATTAGGTCACCCAGAAGCCTTCGCTTCTCCAGGCTGAACAATCCCAATTCTCTCAGCCTTTAAAGCTGATCCTGCACCTTTAGTCATATGGGTACAAGTCATCTTGAGCTGGAAGTTCTGTCAGATCTATGGGCAGCTCCAGAGTCCCAGTGGAAGGTTAAGCTTGGGCTCTGTGCTGTAAAAGCTCTGCCACTTGAGATCAGAGCTGGTTTCCATCTGGTCAGAAAGGGCATGGATTTAGCAATGCATGAGGGCTTGCATCTGTGTTTATATTTCATAAAGATTAATCCTGACTTTGTTTGCAGAAGCTGCTGAACATTGTTGTAGGTAAATGGCTACGATACCTCTGGCAATGTCACGTTTTCCAGCTCTTTGTGTGCTAGTTAATTTTAGAATGATTGTGCTCTATCAGCATGGCAAGACTTTAAAAAGGAAAAGAGGAATTTTAGGAAGCATTAGGCAACATATTTTGGGCTTAAGGAAATATCAATATCACTTTCCATACCCTGGAGAATGCTCCTCTGGAATTCTTTGTGTGTTTTGCACGTGTGCAAACTTAAAGGCACAATGAATGTTACTGAGATGATCACAGGGATGTATCCATATAGCAGGAAATGAAAAGAGCTTGGTTTGTCCACCCTAATAAATTAAAGATTTAGAGAGGACAAAGGTTAATTAAGTCATGAGACAAGACTTATATGAGAATAAATGGCTGTAAACTGACCATGAAAATATCTATTCTGGATGCGATGGAATGACCATCAGAATAAGGGCTGAGAATTGTGGAATGCAGGAATAATTATTTATGATCCAATAGTGATCCAGCCAGGAGCTTGTGACACCAGAGGTGTTTTGTTTCCTTCAAGGCCTGTATAAGGGTTTCCTGGGTTCCCAAGTCAAGGGAACTCTCTAAGTTAGCTCAAGTTCTTATGCATGGAAAATCTGTTAGTAAGAGTTTATTAAAAAGCTTGATTTTTAGGGTACAATTCCATGGCAACTTAACCAGAGAGGGGTGCAGACTGTGCTGGTCTTGCCATGAGCCATGCTTTTCCAGCTGTGTTCTGTGGGCAATGGACATCACAGGGGTACCTGGTGACTGGGCTCAGGGAGCAGATGTGACTGGAAGAAGAGCAGAAAAAGTGATTGGTTTCCCAGCTGGTCAGTGCCTGGCAGAGGGGAATCCTCCCAACTCTGGCTTCAAACAGGAATGTTGTCAAAGTGCTCCTGTACCTTCTAGTTCACTTCTCATATTATCTTTCTTCCCCCAGAGCAGTGCAGACTCCAGAGCCATACTGGGCTCTGAACAGACTCTGGGGTCACTTCTTAACCAAATGATAGTGTCTCTCCCAGAGATGCTGAATTTTAGCAGGCAAGTAGCTCTCTGTGCAGACACTAGTGCTGGCAAATTGCTTCTTGAATAACTTAACTAGATTTCCAGTGTCATGGAAGATGCACACTTTTTACTGTATATGTGATAAAATTCTTATAATAAGCATAGATTCACAAGGAAAGTGCTCATAAAAAGAAAGTTCCTGTGGTAGATAGTCTCACAAAAGAGTTTGTCACATTTTGTTTCCAGTTAATGGATGCCTACTGCAGTCACACTCTCAGTGACAGGAGAACTGAATTCATTTGAGCCAATAAAGTCATTCTAATTTGCATTTTCATAGCCCACTCTTCAGTACTCCAAGTGTGACTTTCCCTTTCAGGACAGAGCTGTGTGGTAAATGGATAGGTAGGCCCTTTAAAAGAATATTTATCATCCTTGAAGAATCTTAGTGCCAAATCTTAATAGCATTTCTTACAAAAATGACTGGAATTCACTATCAGATATAGAGGCAGAGCTGTAGGGATTGTGAATAGTCTTTTTCCAGATAAAAATAAGAGAGCTTAAAGCCTGAAACAGTGAAAACTTCCCTCCAAAATGAAAATATTGAATAATAAATTTTAAAAAATACCCCAAATCATGGTGCTGTAGAAATCAAATTAGCACAAAAGAACTGTTTTTAATTCATTTAGTCACTTTCAGAGATAAATAATTCAACATACCTTTATGCAAAGTTAAAATACCTATATTAATTATGCCAATCAGAGGATAAGTTATTCAGGTTTTGAGGTATTTTTTTTTCTGTTTCAGTTGATGTTGAGAAATCCAGAAGACAAGGAGAACTTCTTTTCCAGTCTGTGTGTGATTTGATGAAACAATTGCCTTAGGACCTGCTGACACTCTAATTGGAGTCTGCATAATGCAGAATCAGAACCTTACTCAGAGCAGTGCTCACTTTATTCTGTTTAAGTATCCCTCTGTTAATTTCATTTCAATCTAGAGGAAAAACCTAAAATCAATTAGTAGTTCTTACTGACTTCACTCAAGGCAAGATTTCATCATGTCTCTGTGTCTCTCTGTGACTCTGTGCTGCTCATCACTTGTTTTTCCTCTCTGATGGCTTCCTCCCTATCCATTTTTGTGGCTCTAGTGTTGCAGCACCTGAAGCTGGAAAGGGTTTTAAGATTCAAAGATCTCGATCTGCATGATAAAAATATTTTGTCATGTGCAATTTAATTCAGTGTTGGCAGTTCTCATTATTCTGATTACATTTTTCTCTCCGTTCTCAGCTTTAAGGATCACCATATTTTATATGAAAATTTGAAGTTTTCATATGCAAAAAGCAAATTTCTAGTTCTCATGTTTCCAGAGAAAAGCTCGGAAGCATAAATTTTCAACACTCACTTCCAAGTAAATGAGTCAAACGAATAAAAAAGAAACCCCAAAACTATACCTAAGCCTACCAAATGCTCCAAACAAAAAACCCCCACAACCAAAAGTCTCATTTCTTAGCAAGTGACTCATAATTTTTGAACTTTTGAGATTATTGCTCCTATTAAAAAGGAGTGTGATTTCTATTTTAGCTCTTTGTAGGGTTTTACGTTAGTTTGCTTTCATTTCAGATAGCTCTTCTGAAGTCAAAGGCAGAACATGATCCTGCAGAATCTTGTTTGCTGTTGTTGTGTGTAAAATTCCTGCCTGGGCAGATGGCCTTCCCAGGTGTCTGCACCATTTACATCTCTAATTAAATAAAGCCTTGCACAAGGATGAATTTCACACCATAAGAATGTGTGTGAAATGCAATTAATATTCTCAAGCTTGTGCTTTTGTGAGAGGTGAACTCCTACAGGTAGGGCTAATGAAGATATGAGAGTGTTTACAGTAAAAGTTCAGAAAATTCATTTTCAGATTCAGGATGTGGCCAATCAAACCTGAAACTGTACAAGTTGAAAAGGACATAAAGATTCTGAAATTCATTCTAAGGTCATTTCTGAGACTGACTTTTAGTCACCAAAAGAGGAGGTAGAACCACCCTTATTTTTGAGATGTCATGATACCCAAAGGTACTTTGACATCAGGGGCTTTATTAATTTCCTCTGCAGTATGGTATGAAATTGATGTCCTTTTTGGCTTATCAACCATATTCTGTGTGATCAGCTTTCAGTGCAAATGTTGAGGTCGTTAGAGGTCACCAGCCAAGTGTGTGCTGTTTTATTACCTAAAAAAAAAGGTATTTCCTGGGCTTGATACCTCATCAGTATAGTTCCATCCCAGTGGCCAAACTAGCACAGGAGTTACCTGAACTAGCGACATTTCCTTATAGTGACTGGTGATAAATTCAGAAAGACAAATTGTCAGGATATTAAAAAGGAATCTTCACTCTGAACTTCTCTGAAAAGCAGTAGTTTATGACAAACTTTGATTCTGCTTGTCAGAGAACATTGAATCTGTAGGTCTGAGTAATCACAACTCCCTGGTTTGCTTTGCAGACTTCTACCCCTTTAGATGTTCAAGAGAAAATGATGTTTGCTGTGCAATTGTCATATTTGTCAAGAATTTGGCTTTTTTCTTAGTAGTGGGTGAAAGATCCTTTTGTGCTAATTGCCCAGTACTGACTTGACTGGTTCTGTGAACAATATTTATATATTCTGAGTTCTACATATGATATTTAAATATTATTTTCAGTGTATTTAGTCTTTCTTTAGACAGCCATCAGCCCATGAACCCTTTTATTATATCCAAAAAACTGAAATCAACATGGTGCTTAAATTCATAATCTATTCTGCTTTGAACAGGTCTCTGCCTTCAACATATTTCTACTTGGCTTATTTTTTTTCAAGATAGTTTGTATGACTTTTTTTTCCCCCAATGTGAAGAATCTTAGCAGAAATTATTTTAATGAGATAGACATTTAGTTCAACAGAAGTTTCTTCATGAAAAAAATAAATTAAAAGAATAGTTGTTCTTTTAGAAGGATAATTAATTATAAACTCTCAGTGTGGTGACAAATTTAACTTTTTGTCTGACATGTTGAGAAGAAAAAAATGCCTGGAATTGCACAAGTAGAATAAAATGTTCCATCTCACAGCAAGGCCAAGCCTGCGTCTTGTAATTATTTCAAAGGGATTAAAGGTCATTTTCTATTTGCTGCATCTGTATTATGTGAGGCTTCTGTATCAGGCTTACAGAGGTTAACTCATGACCCATTTAGATTGCCTGGATTTCAAAGTCAACTTATACTGTCACAAATCTGATAAAGTATATGTATTCCCTCCTCTAAGTACTGACAGAGATGATGTCCAAAGAGGCTTTTTAATTTATAGCTCTGTAAGACAAGAGTTTCAGCTCTAAGACTCCTGTAGCTGAGAGATCAGAACATGATTTACCTCTTACTTGCTGTGTTAATCCTTTATGGGCAGAGCTGTTTGTAGATAAATTTCAGCATATATGACTTGGACTGCTTTGCTGGTGTGGACTCGTTATGTAACTTTGCT